CTGGAGGTGTCCCAGCCCTCCTCCCTCCTCTCCCACCTCCCTCTCCCTTACAGCTGCCAGGTTAGGCAAGGGCTCTAGATAAAGCCCCACAGAGAGGACTGAGTTATGCAGATAACATGCTCTAGTTCTCGCTCCTGGAGGGAGAGGAGGAGGAGCCATGGAAGTGGGGTCCCTCGCCCTGCCATTTCCTTTTTCTCTGCTTTTGATGGTGGGTTGTGAGGAAAAGAAAGATCCTCCCCTCTCCTACCCACTTCTCCCTTTGGGATCCACTCCAGCCCGGACAGTCACCATAGCAACAGTAGACATGTGACCGCACAGGTCTCTCATAGTCACTATAGCAACCAGTGTCCCCCGTTCTCTTGGTTGCTATGGAGCTTTGTCACATGGTTTCCCCCCAAGTTGATAACCTGTGGGTCTCCCTGCTTCTCCTTCCCTGCTTGAGGACTAGACAGCAGCCTAGGTAAGGGGAGTTCATGTGTGAGGGGTCCTTTTAATTACCATGGCAACAAATCCACACCACCTGGTGACACATCCTCCTGTTGTTATGGCAACAGAAGAACATCACACAGTGACATACGGCTATATTCCCAAGGAAACAAGCTCTTCTTTGAGAAAGGTGAAAGACACCCCCCGCCCCAGCCCTATTAATTATTCCTTAATTCAGATTGCCCCACATTTTTCTGTGCCTTGGTGTCTTCCCTGTCCATTTATGTTTGTCTGTAGGGAGAGGAGAGAAGGAGAGAGAGAGCAGGATGTACCTGGGAATAAGCTGAATTGCTAAGGGGGTCCTTGAGAAGGGGCTTCTGTGGTTAAGAGCTGGAGATGGGATTGTTTGGAGGCAGACTCTGGCTACAAGAGGCCCCACTGTGAGCATGGATGAAGCAGGGACAGGAGGGACGGCTCCCCTACGGTGTCACTTCTGTGCCTCTGCCCTCTCTCCACCCCACCTACCACCTTGGTTATCAAGGCAAGTAAGGCAGGAAAACATGAATGGGAAATACATCTAGCTTCTAGGCAGGGAGATGGATTGATCAGTTGATTGACTCGTTCATTCATTGATTCATTCAGTTCCTCTTCCCATGTATTGATCATCTGCTGTATGTCAGGCACTACTCTAAGCTTTGTGGGGTATATAAAGATGTCTCAGAGCGCCCTGCCTTGGCAAGGGAGATGAGATAGGTGACGAGAATGACAGGGTGGAGCCACTGCCATTAGAGGGGTTCAAACAGGTGTCCCGGGAGCCACTCTTCCCAGAACTACCGACCTTCCGCCCCTGCAGAGGTGTGTGCTCACCTGGGCCCCTTCCCTGCAGAGGAGAGGAGAGGGGGCTAGCTTGGAGAAAGCAGACAAGAGTAATTGTGTCTTTCCTTTTCTGGATGATCGCCCCAGGGGAGCTCCCTCCCTGTCCCCCCTTTTCCAGGGTGACCCCTGGCTGACCCCTATTCTGGAGAGAGACACATTGGGCTCCAGCTCCACTCAGGAAAACAGCTCCATGGAAACAGAACACTTTTTGTTTCCCACTTCCATCTACTTACCCCGAGAAACCTAGAACTTCTTTTCGCTCTCTAACTTTTATTCTTGGAGGAGGTAGAGGGTAGGGAGCTTGCAGTGCCTGGGGACAGTTGGGTATCTGACGGAGGGAAGTGATGTCTGAGAGAAGAGGCCTGGCTGGCAGAGGTGGGGAGGAGGGCTATGGAGGGATGGAGGGAGTCACGGGCTCCTGGTGAGGGGGCACGGCCAGGTTCAGGACAGAGATGGGGTGTGGCTAGGATCAGCCGGGAAGAAAGTCATTGGGTCTTGGTCAGAGGCTTCTCGCTCTAGAAGTGGAGTTACAACAGGAAGGTCTTGTCTTTCCCGGGCCCTCTACCCACTGCTTCTGGCTTGGTGAGTCACGCTGTGAGCAGACCCTCCCTCCATCCCTTGAACCCCAACCTCTGCTTGTTTCCAAGCTCTTTGCTCTTCCCCACTCCTCTCAGATTTTCCTTGAGAAAAATAGGCTGCTTGTCACTGAGCTGTGCGTCTGGTGTCCAGAACCTTCTGAGGTCCAGAGACCATTTTATACATCCCTCGCTGATGGACTGGAAGTGAGCCCCTTGATGAAATACACTCTGTGGAAAGAATCAGGTTTTAGAAAGACTCCCCTCTCCCCATTCCTGCAAAACAGCGTCTGTTTTAGTTGGTTCGGGCTCGGGCTTTGCTGGAAGCCACAAGAAGGTGTGATGGCGGCCTGGTCTGTGTGTGCAGGGTACTGTACTGTCCACTCCGCACAGGCTGGGGGCTTGTGTCCAGCGCAGGGCATGGTGTGTCGTGGGTGCTCATTCTTTAACGCGTGACTGTGTCTAGAGGCCATCTGAGATCTTTGAGAAGCCAGGGGGGCTGGTGGCAGGAGAGGCAGCCGCGGGCTCTGGTGCTGTGGCGAAGCCATGGGCCCTCTTGGCTGCCTCTGCCTGTCTGTCTGGTGCCGGTGTGGCCATGACAGCCCTTGCCCTGCATGCTTGAACCTGTCTCCTGCTGGCTTGTCTTGTGACCTTGAGCACAGGACTTTGGCTCTCCGAGCCTCAGTTTCCTTGGGTTCTGGGGGAGAAAACCATCTACCCCAGATACCTCGCGGGCTGTTGTGAGCACCGCACGTGGCATGGTGTGAGCGTGCTTGGTAAACTGTAAGGCAGACAGGATCCGACTTTAGGTTTGTGTCACACATTCACATACATTATCTCATTTGCTTCTCACATCTTCCCTGGGAGGTAGGAGAATGGGATTCAGATTCAGCAGCAAACTCTTGGTGTCTGGCATTTCCATAAGTGCGATCGATTTTATTCCCCAAATGGCTTGTGTAAATAGTCAGGGTATTTATGGCTTTTCTGACTTTACAGAGGAGGACGCTGGGTCCAGAGGGGCGAGATGACCAAGGTGGGACGGGGCCAGGGCCTTCCCATTGCACCTGTCAGACGGGGTTGGGAGGTCAAGAAGCGGGAGGCACGGGGGTAGGGGTGGGGGCATGGGCTCAGCTCCAGCCCTGGCCTGCTGTTTCCTTGACCGCCTGTTTACCTGGTTTGAGCGTATCAGCATGTTGGTCATCCTTCTCAACTGTGTGACTCTGGGCATGTTCCGGCCGTGTGAGGACATTGCCTGTGACTCCCAGCGCTGCCGGATCCTGCAGGTGAATGTGTGTGCAGTAGGGTCTTAAGAATCCTGAGCCCTTCTCTGCAAGAGGCCCTGACCCCGCTGATGGGGTGGGGGTGGGGCATATCCCCCACCCCCTTCTCAGTTTCAGCAGCCTCTCATCCCCACACCAGGCCTTCGATGACTTCATCTTTGCCTTCTTCGCCGTGGAGATGGTGGTGAAGATGGTGGCCCTGGGCATCTTTGGGAAAAAGTGTTACCTGGGAGACACTTGGAACCGGCTGGACTTTTTCATCGTTATTGCAGGGTGAGATCCGGGGCCGGGTGTGGGCAAGAACTGGATTAGATCGGTCCCATCCCTAAGGCCAGAGTCCTCGGCCTGGCCCCCACCCCAGCCCCCCTAACAGTGCTGCTCCCTGTTCCCTAAGGGCCCGAGGCTGTCCAGCCTGTCCTCTGAGTCCATGGCCTCCCCATCCACTCCCTCTGCAGGGTCCCTGGGTGGAGGAGGGGAGGGGTCGGAGTTTGTGCTGCACCTCTGCAGCAGGCTTCCTCACTGACCTCTTTTGACCCCCATGGCGGCCTCAGACTCAAAGGGCCTCCCTTTGGGCCCCTCCCTGCAGGATGCTGGAGTATTCGCTGGACCTGCAGAACGTCAGCTTCTCAGCTGTCAGGACAGTCCGTGTGCTGCGACCGCTCAGGGCCATTAACCGGGTGCCCAGTGAGTGACCCCTCGGCCCTCAGCCCCTGGATGGAGAGCCCCAAGAGGAAATATGGACATCTCAGACCCCACCCCTAACCCCTGACCACTCACAGGCCATATCAAGGAAGGGCTTAGTGGGAGCTGGGGTCACTGAAGCCAAAAGGAGCCCCTCCCCTGGCTGTGGCTCTGTAAGAATTACCTGGAAAGACCCCCCCCGCCTCATTTTAGCCTGATTTTGGGTCCGAGTCTCAGAAGTGTCTCAGATGACTCCTTCCCTGGAAGAGGGGCGGTGAGAACGAGGTAGAGAGGATGGGGGGCCAGGAGTGGGTGCAAGGCACCTCGGCCTTTTCTAGCCAGAAGTCTCTCCTGCAGTGGGGGGTCTCATGGGTGAGACCACAATGGTCACGCTGACCTCTCTCAAGACAAGGCCACTCCGTGCCTCACCCTCCCACCTGTATCCCCTTCTCCACGCTCACCCGCTTCCAACTCGTCATAGCAACTGACTGCCGGGACCATTATCTAAATTAAACCGCATTGGTTCCCCGAGCCAACGACGCTTTGGCAGTTCTAGCTCCGCACACATCCTGCCCCCCACCCTTGCTCAGGCCCCCTTTGCAACTCCCTAACCTACACAAGCTGCAGATGGCCTTTGCTGAAATCCCAGGTGTGGGGTGGGTTGGGGGAGCCGGTGTCTGGGAGTCGTGTGGTGGCAGCCCCTTTGCTGTGTTGTGTGCGTGTGCATGCGTGCGCATGATGCATCTTGTGTGTGTGATGAGCTGCCTCAGGGTAGGCAGAGCTGCTAGGTGTGTCCTCCAGGGGCTGGGCTGTGCTGGTGCTCACAGGAGCTCCGGG